TTCAGCTCTTGACCGTATGCATTTGTCGTCGGACTACACAGCCACCCCCACCACAAAGGCTTATTCAAACAAAGAGGCTGTTAGCGATGCCAAGACTGACGTGACCACTGCAGTTGATGGAACTAAACATGCTGAACCGCGTAAGGCTAAGTGTTTACCACCGAGCGATACACTCTACGCATATACATCTGATTTAGGCGGCTTGCAGTCAGGTGACAATAGTACCTCGCAACCCGGAGGAGATACCGACATGCGCACAATCGAGGATAGAAAGTTCGAACAATACAAGCACACCGTGGGACGCATAGCGGATGACTTGGGTGCGCATGCGGTAGTGCCCACAGAGAATGAGGCGGGCTGTGCGGTATCAACGAAGACGGGCCACCAGTCACAGGATACGGTTGAAACAGGTCATGTACAGTCCCTAGTTGCGGGGACAGGTGCAGTGGAAAAGGCCCTGATAAGGGCAGGTGATATAGTTGAACGAGAGGTGCTCGGATTGGAAGAGACCTTCTATCTGGTGTATGGCTTGCAGTGCTTGGACTTGTACCGTGAGGGTAACGAGGTATGCTATAGGGAAAATGGCCACTACGAGTATTGTATGAGTGTCTGTCTATGATTTATTGTATGAGTGTCTGTCTTGACTTGTGAATAGGGGCTTCCATATACACAGATGCTCGAAGATTCAAGTATTTCGATGGAACACGGATTGTATTTCCCTGCGACTTAGAATCCGCATGGCCAATTTGTCCAGATCTTTGTGTGCGTGTACGTGCACACGCGCAGTTGAGCAACACTGCTGAATATCCTGGCGAAGTTATTTTCAGTTACTATCTTCATGCATCTCAGTATTTATGCATATACTGTTGAATATGCTAGCGAAATAATCTTTAATATATTATCTTCACCTCAGAATGTATACATACATTGTTGAATATACTAATAAAACTACCTTCAATTTATTATTTTCATGTAGCTATTTATGTATGCATATTTTTCTTTATTTAAGTCTGCATCAGCTTTCATTTGCGACTACTGAACATGTACGTATTCCACACTTCATATGTATATCCTTTGCCTCGTAAGCGGTCCCCGGTCCCCGTTCACGTGCATATATTAACTCACCAACTCATACTGATGCTGTTATTATATACACTTGTACCTTCCAGACACCGATGACCATCCAAGATGTCTGGACGGCCTTCTGCACACTGCACGCTGCATTCATCCCCCGGTACACCGTCTATCACCACTACCGTGCCTGTGGGTGGGTGCCGCGGTCCGGTCTGAAGTACGCGACGGACTTTGTGTTGTACAAGATGGGTCCTATATTCACCCATTCCAGCTATAATGTCCTGATACGCACGGAGAATGCACCGGAAGGGTTTGGACAGGGCCTGGCCTGGATGTCCCGACAGGAGGGATGGGGCAAGATACAGAATCTGCAACGGATGACCGAGGGTGTCGCTAAGGTGTGCATGATGCGATTTGGTATAGTTTGGGGATTGTTGTGGACATTGTTGACTCGTGGAGAGCGCGGAATGCAACCTATGTACACTGCTGTGTCACGGATATAGTCATAATGCTCGTTCGGTATTCGTATGTATATCACCGACAAGATTGGCACTACTTGTCCATATACCACAGACCTTTCCATATCATCCAATTTTGTAGCCTTGTAACCCTATTCATAAATTGTATCTCATCGCAAACACTCGTTCCACTCGTCACAGGATACCGTACTGGCGTGGGTGCTATTCCCTACGACATTTGACTGCACAACCCCTGAGTGCCTGGGCCAACTACAAGTAGATGAGTACATCATTCGAAGGTGGAGGCCGGAGGGTACGTGAGCGCGTTTGAGAACGAGGTCAGCGGTTTATATGCAACGCAAACCAGGTGTGCAGGTGGTAAAATAACGCTTGGGCCTCGTTGCTGCTTGCGAGTGAGCGAGTACATAATCCGATGGAGGAGGCTGGAGGGTATTTAAACAGCCTTATTGTATTCGGGATCAACTTCAGATTGTGGTCGCTATAACCTTATACTGCTGGTTGTTTTTGCACACCTCTGAGTCGCCAGGGCCAACTGTATCTTCACCAAGTTAGTAAGCGGAGGCAGGAGAGCACCAAGTAGCGCTAGAGTGGGATGGGATGAGTTTGCAGCACATAGCACACAATTTCAAACACCAACATAGTACAGATCGGAGGGGGATAGCTCGAGCCTTTGTAAAGAACGTGAATGGACGAGTACATCGCGCGAAGGTGGAACCTGAGAGCATCTCAATACCCGTACACAGCTGTTGAAGTCCAGTACTTATCAGTGTATACCAGTATACCAGTGTCTAACTCAGTGGAGTGTGTCAACACTTGACACGATAAGATCTACACACGAAGTGCACAAATTTTTGAGTGCCTGCGCCCACTACAAATAGATGTGCATATCCGCTCAAGGTGAGGACCCCATGGTGTGGTAGAAACACGGATTTTCAACCGTGTCAACTAGGTTTGTACATAACCAGGACGCGACAGAACTAGTAAAGAGCTGCCTGATGTATTGGCAAGTAATCGGAATCTGTTGTATGACCTGGCCAGTTACACAATGTGATCAATTTGTGCTCTCAGAGGAAGGTAGCCCCGGTTTGAGAGCAAGTGATACCCAGAAGTTGTTTCATTGAACAATCTTCCAAGTCATACCTAGCAGTACCCATCACAGATCCCAAAGAGCTGATACGACTTTGAAAAATTGGGAGGGGGGGGTGTGGGCTACTACTGGGTCTGATCACTATTGATAGCCCAAAAGAATCTAGTACTAGGTCACCAATTAGAGTCCAATATAAGAATAGTCCACAGCAAGTGGTGCATATAAAAGCTAGCGATCCTGACCCCCGTTGCTCTTGACTGACACACCCCACGTGCAATGGATGTTTAAGGAACAATATGCGACAGCCTCCAAAAGTGATTGCAAGGTTACTGGTTACTGCTGTCTATTATCTGTATAAGTATTCTCCAGTACGTGTCGCACCTATTACACTATTGTACCCAAATTAAACATCATAGGGAAAGGTAGGCGAACAACCCCCCTCCCTCACGATCTCATCTCAAAATCTTAGAACCCAGGGAAGTCTAGATGCTTCTGAGTGGCACACATCTCTTTTAAAAATTCTTGTCTGATCTATTGAATGACTCTGCAGAGACGCTAAAGGGCGTATGCCTTTGCCGCGCATATCTGGTTCAAATGCATCA